AAGGGAGGATACTGGGACATACGTGCTTATTTACTATTAATATTCCAAGGGAATTGGTGAAAGCTCCATCATTTAGGACATTTTAAAAGGAGGCTGGAGAAAGCAATAGAAACTATGTTGTAGCTGACTGGTAGATGAACTAGATGACCTAATAGCTCTTTGCCTCATTTAATTATTCACTTTTTATTTTATGTTGATATTGTCTGACTCAAGTGCTCAGGCAGAATTAAAAGTGCCATCTAAAACGGAGGATGCCTGTTTAATAGCTGTTGGCTAAGATATTATGATGCTGAATGCAACAAAAATGTAACACATATAAATAGTTTAAATTAAATTTAGAAGGATGGATGGGGGAGTATCACTTCATAAGGCATCATATAAAATAGAGTAACTTCCCTAATGCTTTCAGGTAAATCATGGGTGAAATTCTGGCCCCCTGGGTCTTTCACTGTGAACTTCAATGGAGCCAGGTTTTGACACTGTCTTCATAGCTGTTTGTACAGAGCCTAACATGGTGGGGCTGCGATTCTTATTGGGGCCTCTTGGCACTACATAATATAAATATTTAATAATAATAAGCATTCAGTCTGACAAAATACAAAAAGAGAACAAGAAGGAAAAACTTTCTATGTAACTTGTCTCTTCTACAAACATTTTCCTTAAATACATTCTGGCTTAATGGTTTGAAATAGTCAAATACCCTTTTATTAATTTGTTTATGTAGTACTTGCAGTATGCTAGACACTGACCAGACTTTGAAGAGGGGGAAGTCCCTGCCTTGAGCTCACAGTCAAAGAACAGATAGGCACTCAGAGTTTAGGGGAAGAGGAACAACAAATAGGGTTCTTTTTATACATGTCTGCTAGATTCATTGTTAGCAGCATGGCAGAAGTGGTTTATGAAGAGGGACTTAGATGTACGCAAATGAGCTCAGGGAGGTGGTACCATACATAAGGAACGTTGTCAAGGAGGCAGTCGTGCAAGAAGCTGATGGACAAGCAGAAGAGGTTGGGAACAGTTGGCAGAACCAAAGTGGCAAGAAGCTCGACAAGGCCAGATAAGCAGAGAGAGGCAGAGTTTTACACAGAGATTTGAATGTGCTGACATAGCTTACACTTGATGCAGTAGCACTTTGGGAGCCAGTGGAAGGATTTAAAGAGGGGAGTGACATGATCAAAAATGGCTGCCACGCTGCAGGGCAGAGGGATGGGGAAGATGGTGATGATGTCAACAGTGTTACAGAAGAGAGGCAAGTGGAAAAGTTATTTGCTTAGTGTGCCCCAAAAGAAAAATAGGAGGAAACTACACCTGACTGTGGATCAAGAGCTAAATTAAATATATTGTAGAAATCTCATTGTGCTGGTACTTAGATTATTTATTCGGGTTTTAAAACCTGACAGACCCATTAGCAAAAAAAATAGCAAATGACAGGAATGGAGGTGGGGGATAAGGGCCTAATGGAGACTCACTGACTTAGGTGGGACCTGAGGAGTAATGACACTGAGAGTGTGGGTCCCGATGGCTTGAGAATTCCATCCACTCTGGTGGAACATCATCACAGAGTCTGCTAGAAAAGTGTACATTTTTTTGCACTTTATTTCCATGGAGTCTGGGTTTAAGAGGCTTCCACACCGAGTTTCAGATAAGTTTTGTGTATTTGTTTTTTGTTTGGAGAGGATAACAATGCAAAATTGTGTTGGTTTTGTGTGTGTGAGAGAATTTTCAGAAAAAGTTAGATTTTTACTTGTGAAAAATTCCTTTTCAATTTTAACTTTCTGTGACTTTTCCCAAGGACCAGCATGCACTTTTATTTCTGGAATGTGGGAAGACTGTGACATATAGTGTAGCTCCTCCCTGTCTTGTCATCCCAGCCAGGAGCCACACAATAGTTGCAAAGAAGGCAGTGTTGTGTCTGTACGGCAGGTGGCCCCATGTGCTGAAGCCTGTAGGGGAAAAGCCAGATGCAGCAATGATGATTTAAAAAACCAAAGAGGGAAATAACAACCAAAACCTACTGGAATAATAACCAAGAATTCTTATGGCACATCCAGTCAGGGTAATTCCTCTGACTGTCCGGCCTCAGCAATGTGGTTCGTTTTTTTTTTTTTTTCTCTCACAACTTTGCTGACCAGCAAAAATCTTCAGAAAGTCTAAGATGGAGTCAAACTTTGTACTTCATTATGTGGACTCTAGTTGTTAGTTTTGAACACAGTTGTTTGAGATCAGTTTAAATATAGATAATGATGTAGCTTCATTTTCTTATTTTCCAGTGGACCCTTACCAGGTGCTGCAGAGATGGAATTTGCTAGGTCTGTTAGTAACAGGGTATATACTGTGTTATGAATTTCTAATCAGAACTCCCTATTCAAATCAACTGGGAGTACATCTTTAAAAAAAAAAAAAAAAAAAGGACAAGGCTAATAAATAATATTTTCTAATCTTGTGCATCAAGTATCTGATTCTTAATTTTTCTATGTAGAGGTTTTTTTGAGGTGTTCTCTTAAATTTTTAAAAAGTCACGGAGGACTTATAATTAAGATTTACTACCCTACTGGGTAGGAAAGGGGTATATTAGAGTCAACAGGGTCCAGAAAGAATCAGCTGTTATTGATGGGTGGAAACGGCACCAAGAATAGGGTTGCCAGGCATCCGGGTTTCGACCAGAACGCCCAGTCAAAAAGGGACCTTGGCGGCTCTGGTCAGCACCGCTGACTGGGCCACTAAAAGTCCGGTTGGTGGTGCAGTGAGGCTAAGGCAGGCTCCCGGCTTGTCCTGGCTCTGTGTGGCTCCCGGAAACGGCCAGCATGTTTGGTTCTGAGGCTCAGGGGCGGCCACGGGGTCACCGCATGCTGCCCCCGCTCCGAGCTCTGACTCTGCATCTCTCATTGGCCGGGAACCGTGGCGGCGGCGCTTGTGGGATCAGGCAGCACAGAGCCCCCTGGCCCCTCTGCCTCGGAGCCAGAGGGACCTGCCAGCCACTTCCAGGAGCCGTCTCAGGTAAGCGTCGCCTGGAGCCTGCACCCCGAACCTCTGCCCGTACCCCAATCCGCTGCCCCAACCCTGAGCCCTCTCCCATACCCAAACTCCCTCCCAGAGTCCACCCCCCCCCCCCACTCCAACCCCCTGTCCCAGTCCTGAGCCCCCTCCCGCACTCAAACTCCCTCCTGGAGCCCGGAGCCCGCATCCCACACTACAACCCCCTGCCCCAGCTCCCTCCTGACTCCAAACCCCTCAGTCCCAGGCCAGAGCCCCCTCCTGCACCCCTCATCCCCAGCCCTACCCCAGAGCCCACACCCCCAGCCAGAGCCCATGCCCCCTCCCGCACTCCAAACCCCTCGGCAGGGAATGGATCACTTGGTGATTACCTGTTCTGTTCATTCCCTCTGGGGCACCTGGCATTGGCCACTTTTGGAAGACAGGATACTGGGCTAGATGGACCTTTGGTCTGACCCAGTATGGCCATTCTTACGTTCTTATGTTATGTTTGGTTTAACCCTAAATAACACATTCTCCCCAGGTCTCTTCCCTGGGTGTTCCCTTTTGGCTGCTCTCATCCTCTCCACTCAATGTCTACAGCAAGGTTCATCCTTTTCTTTGTCTCCTGCAGACAGAGTTGCTGGCCACGCTTGCATCTCTCATCTTGCCCTTTGAATTTGAGTGTGATCAAAGGTCTAGGGAGGATTTCATCTCCTCAGTCATTGGGTGGAGATCTTCACTCTCCAAGCAAGATGAATATATTGTGCTCCCCCAGCCAGCTACCTTTCTCTGTCTCTGCAGCACATCCTGTTGCTCTAGAGACAGCAGAAGGCACTACAGATTGATCAGTGACCTGTGGGCATTGCTGGCTTGGGGAGAAGAGGAGGAAGCTGGTAATCTGTGTGGCAAAGGCTTGTGGGATATAGTGGTAGAGCAAGGTCTATTGGCTGGAGAACCCTACCTATAATCTTAGTAAGATATACTGTACTAAGAGCCATTCTAAAAAATGAACCTTTATTGCAACAGTGTAGTTGATTTGATTGCTCTTTGTGATATTCCGAATACCAGCTAGTCTCAAACTTCTTCAGAGTGTGAATCACACAAATAGTCTCTTGGGCACTCCACTCCTATTAATCTTTATGTGGAACACCTCCCCTCCCGTTGATGGCCATGTGGGTCATCTAACTTTCCTTTCATTGTCTTGTGGGACCACCTTTAGGGAGGCAGCAATCTACTACTGCTATTGAGATTCTCCCTAGAAAGAATAGAGCACTGGCTGTGTTCCTAGCCTGTTGATCATAGATGATGATTTTTTTCTGTTCCTTTGTTCCCTGCAGGTCTAGGGACATACAGGGGCTTCGTTATAAAGCCCATTATTTTGTAATGTAAAGTCTTGTTTACCATACCTTTTTCCACATGGTCCTTTTGGAAATTCTATTAATTTTCTTCTTATGTATTCCTTTGTAGGCCTAGATTTCTGTTGGAATCCCTTCTCTAGGAAGGTCAGGGCTGGTGTAATGGTATCGTCTTGTGTTACTGAACTGGTTCCTCTTGTGTGTAATTTTGTTTTTGTTTGGTGGTGGTTGTTTTTTTGTATTTCCCAGGTGTGATTTCAGTCCCATCAATATCAGCATGTTCAGGCCTCTTGCTAGACAACCTCTGCAGCCTTTCATTTAGAGATCAGAAATCTGAGCTCCCCTTGCAGGTTGCAGTTCTTTTGGTTTATCTCTGTGTTCTCTAACCCTCAGTTTAGTGGTTTGACCTTCTGCCCACACTATTTTTGATCAACATTTGCCAAGGTTTTCTTAAACACTTTTGCAGCACTTTGCAACTTCAGAACACAAATGTTAACACAGACTGACAATTTTGGAGTAGGCTAATCCATCAGTCTTGGGTCAGAAGGTCTGAATTCTAGAAACCTTAATGTATGTAAAGATGACCTGTTATTCAATCAGAGTTTTATATTTCATTTTGTTTTGAACAGTTAGAGGGAAATAGTCACAACTTTTTCTGTTGCTCTGCAGGTCACGTTACATTTGAATCCCATTTCCTCAGTGCACGTTCATCATAAGCCTGTGGTGTTCCTACTGAACTCTCCTCAGCCCCTGACCTGGAAGCTGAAAACAGAAAGATTGGCATCTGGAGTCCGAAGATTTTTCTTCGTAAGTATACCAAGTCCTCTGCCGCTCTGTAACACATGTGGAGTGAATGGTATTCATTTTGAAGGATTTTAAGCGTATCTTTAAAAAACTTAACAGAAGATCAAGTTTCAGTGTGGGACTCTGGGGAGCAATTAGGTGGCATGGGAAAGCAGTTTGGGAAAGTGCCCAGTTACTTGTTATGTGAATTTAAAAAAAAAAACTGGTTTTGTGGAATCTACCTATTGTGTGATTATTAACTCTAGCAGTACTTCTAGTTTGAGAAGTTGTGTAGCCTAGGACATATCACCAGTCCTGATTAGAAGTCTTGAATGTACTATAATGCTAAAAACATCAGAGCAATAGGACATCTTACAAGTAGCTGCTAAGTGTGTGGTCTGTCACCAAAATACAAATATGTATAAGCTGAGCGTCTCGTGTGTACAATGCAAAGTTTATTTCTGACGTGAGGTTTTGTTGCACTGCTGGGAAGGACCAAACGAAGCCATTAGTGTTTCTCAAAAGGTTGGAGCACTGCTTATATGGCAAGCTCCAAATGCTACCTACTGTTTGTAAATCATGTTCTTTCAGTTTGCCAGGACATTCAAGTTTGCTATTTGTAGTGAAACAGACTGGTTGTTTGGATTAGATTTTTAGCATATGAGATAATGTCTAAGGATGAGTCTTCTCTATTAGAATTGCAGCTTTACTATTTTCAATCATAATCTCAGAAGTAAACATTATTTATAGCTGCAGGATATCCATCTGGGGCTTAATTTTGCTTTTAAGGCACAGCTGGCAGTGGTGGACAGTACAGTGGTGCCCTGTCCAGAGAAAGTCATTGTGCTTCAGGTAAAATGCCACCAGGAGTGCAAGGTGAAGAGGATGCACTGTGTACTCCCCCTGCAGCTGGCTAGCTGTGATGCTAAACTCCAGTAACCCTAGTGTTCAGTGGAATGCAAGAGCTGCTATTTTCCTCAAGCCCCGTTGAAGGTGCAAGAGAAGAGGGGGGTTTGAGCCCCTAATGTGTTAAACTTTGAAGGACCTAATCCTGCTTACAGTTAAGTTTGTCAAAATTCAGATTGGCTTCAATAGGAGCAGGACTGAGCTCTATCCTGTGCATTTTTATGGCTAATTTCATGTACACTCAAAATAGCATGTAAAGTAGCAGCCCAGTGTCTCCATTTCGACCCAGCCCATCCTGGCCAATGTCCTCAAAGTCTGTCCACTTCATGGCACCAAAAAAAGACTTTACTAACAGTAGGCTGTGCAGAGCGTGACCCTCCCTTTCCATAGTCACATGTGGGACAGCAGCGAATTAGTTACCAGTGTTGACATTTAAAGGATCATCACTAAGCATCTGAGCTAATTTAGTCACTGGGATGAATAGCAGGTGCTCTGTAGATGCAGTTAGGAATCACTGCATCAGTTTATGCCTGCTTCCCACATGCACGGTGTTCTCCCTAGCCACAAGGAATAGAGGTTTGGGGTTGTTTTGTTTTATAATAAAAGTTGAGAACCTGGAGAAGAAGATGGCTGCATCCAAAGAGTGCCATATCACTGACTCAGCATAACCTGCCACAGTTTGAGACCTGCAGTACCTCCCAACCCAGCATTTCATTCTCTTCCTCTCCCTTCACTGTTCAGGCATGTCTTCACTGCAGTTAGCCTGGGGTCTTACCCAGATATTATACCTAACTCCCTGCCTGTCCACATACAAAAACCTCTCATCTCACTTTAGTGATGCTTTAAACCTGGTCTAGCTGCCCTGACTCGGAGTGTGAGTTAGAGCCTGGGTTCTGCTTTCACTTGGGCTGGGAACCCAACCACTTTGCAGTGAGGATGTAGACTAAATCACTGGAATTCTGTCAGTCCTCCAATACCTTCCCACAATTCTCTCTATGTGCTGAGAAGGACAGTCAAGTTTGCCCACAATTCACTGGGAAAGAATCAGAGCAGCTCAGCTTACAGCAGCACACAGAACTACAGGCTATGCCCCTCAGAAGTTCTAGCGCCTCATATGGGGGAGTGCAGCACCAGTGAGGACACAGTAATTGGGTGTGGCTTCATAGTGTGGCTGCTCACAGCCGGGCTAGGCTAACCCCGGTGCTCATCATCCAGGCTAAATCTGCAGTGAAAGACATACCCTAGAGGCTTCCACTCTTTCCTCTCTGGCCTGCAGCGTTTGGAAGTACTTTGGGTGATTCTTATTTCAAAGTGAACCATGGAACAGACATACACAATGTTTCTAACCCATGGAGTGAAAGGCACCCTTCCTTCTTGCCACAACATCCAGCAAAGTCTGACACAGTTCTAGCTCAAGGTTCTGTTAGGAGTAGAATGAAGGATACATTACCTGGTCCTTTTTATTTTAAAATATTTTGGCTTATCCGTGTACCACTTCAGCTTTATCTCTGTTGTTCACTTCTCTTGAGCTTGTGGTTAAGGTGGAAAACAGATTATTTTGAATCTTAATTACTAATGTGTTCTTTCCTAGCAGGTTTCAAATTTAAATAAATTCCTTGTATTTTATTTCCACAAATTATATGTTCAAAGCAGAAATGTAAGTCACACGTACTGCTGCAGTGTCATAACTATTGTGTCTGTCTCTATGGAAGCATTTCCCTGGGGTAATTGCTGACTTTCTAGCTTTTCTTTCAAGCATTTCACAAAACAAATAGATATACTGTTTTGACCCCAATTATAAGTTTATTGCCTTTCTGTGTTTTAATACAATCTGCAGTTTCTTTAGAGATTAATCACCAACCAGTAAGGAAAATGAAGACATGAAAAGATGTTCAGCTGGCTAGTTTATGGCATTTTAAGTGACTAAAAGAACAGCAAACCTAGCACCTGAGCCAAACACTTTAGTTAAATGGCCTCAGTACTGCAGAGGATGATAACAGTAATAGCACATAACACAGTCCTTTGCACATACTGTACAAAGGTTATCAGCACTATTAGCCCTAATTTACAGATGGGGAAAGTAAGGCACAGTGAGGGTAAATGACTCATCCAAGGTTATGTTGTGAGTCAGTGGCACAGCCAGGACCAGACCTCTGTCTCTTTGTTACCACTGTGGTGCTCTGGCCGTTGTATAGTGCTGCCAGGTCCTGTCTGTGGAACATTGTATTCAATTTTTAATTGGAATTAATTTGTTCAAGGAACCCAACAGAAGACAGCACAGAGTTGCTGTTTTAAGATGGAACCACTTTGGAATGGAGATGGGTTCAGGCTACAAAGATCAGAGCAGGACTTCCCCAGAGTTCAGGGGAATTCAATCCATTGTAGCCCATTATACAGACGGGCCAGTATCAGAATCTGAACTTTCCAACAATATGCTTAGAGTTGGGATTTTGTATCATGCCTGACTGTTTTGGGAGGAAATTTGAACTGTGAAAAGTATCCATTGTTTCCTAGTATAATTTAAATGTAATTATGAAGCATAAGAATCTATCTAGAAATCTTCCTGCAAGATACTTTAAGGTAGAAAAATATAAAAAGCATTTCTGAATGGTTTGGTGCACATGGAAAACAATTAAAATACTTTTTTTTGCCTTGTTATACACATAGTTTAATTCAGGGAAAAGTGACGGGTAAAGTGTCTATTCAAAATGTAATGTGAGTGGCTCACAGTTTAGCCATTTCTTTACAAGACATTCCTGTTTATGTGTTAAGCCAAACAGTGGACCAAAATATTACTAAAATCCTATAGAAAACTACTAAACGGCAAAAGATCTACTATGATTTACACTTGAAGTAATGTATACTGCACCCTCTTTAGAGTGCTATGCACTTCAGCCATGCCTCTTACATAGTTAACTTCAGTTTGCTTTAATATAATCTTTTATACAGTATGAGTTGAAGTGAGATAATGCTTCATAGAATTGTAGTGTTATAAATAGGTAAAATAGTGTTGTACTGTGAACAGGGCACCAGACTGAGAGTAAGAAGTTTCCCACTCGTCCAGTGATTTATTGTGTAATCTTCCTCAAGTCACTTCATCTCTTTCTGCCTCATTCCCCCATCTGTAAACTGAGGATTATATTATTTACCCACCTTGACAAAATGTGTTGGGATCTTGGATAAAAAGTTGCATTTAAGAGCTAAATATTATTATGCTATCAGTATATTATTAATATAATAATTAATATTGTATCCGTAACGGATTATGGTAATTTAGATGCAAATTTTGGACCCACTCTGCGTTGTCTTGGACATCACTGAGATTCAGTTGCTGGTCAGATTCTCATGCCTGAAAATTTATAAAAGCCGTTCCAAAAGCCTGTAGAAAACATCTTGCCTGTGCTACAGCTCAGGGGTGGAGGGGAGGCTTGCAAAAAAAACCAACCAAACAAAAACACTATGGAGAAGAGTTTACTTTTACAACAACAACAAAAAACCAAAACAACAACAACAGAAACCCACTTTTTTTGGTGGTGGTTGTTGCTTAGAATGATTTGTTGCAAAAATGTCCTGGCCAAAAACCATGGTTTTTATGGAACTGCCAAAGAGGTGGGCTTTACAGGTACTGTTTAGCTGGTGAATGCTTTCACTACAAGTGGCAGCCCTCCCTCTGGCTTTTAAAGCCTAGGAACACCTTTGCTAGGAAAATGAAACATCTTAGTGCAAAAATTAGAATTAAATTGCCATTGAAAATTTATACTCAGTTCTTTGTGACTTTCTGGCAGAAATCATCATGTGTAATTATTTATAACTGTTTATGAAGAACCTGATCCTACAACTCTTACTTTGAAGGGTACGCACTTAAGACATCCTAGTGAGTAAGGGATATGGGCCCTGAAAGCACTTATACAAATGAGTAGCTTTACTCACATGAGCAGCCCCAGTGACTTTAAAGGAATTACTCATATCAGTAAAGTTAGTAAAATGGAGGGGGAGGGGGATAGAACAAGTTGGAAAAAAAAACATGAAAAACTGTATTATGTCTGTTGGCTTGAGATTTTAAAAGAAAAAAAACTTACTGCAGTGAAAAAAATAAATTAATTCCAGTATAAAGATTA